AATTTCGAATACAAAGTTCACAATATGATATCGCTAAACATTCTTGTTGGCAGTTCTCACAAATTCTTTTCTTTCCTCGATTTTCTGAAACTTTACGATATTCATAATTTCTTTTTAATTTTCTAAATACCTCCGATTTTTCATCATCTGTAAGAGATTTATCAGCTATAATTGTTTGTTGGCTCAATTCAAACTCTTTGTCTATGTCAGCGTTACATATTAATGTAAGTACTTTATCATATAATTTATTAACTAATCCTCTACGAATAAATGTCATAGTGACAATGGAATTGGAAGATAAAAAAATTTTCTAAATTAAATGCATAATCATTAGCATAAAGTTACACAAGGTTTATTGAAGATCTGTATACATTTGAAAATGAATATTCCAATTAAAATTCTAAACTTTGAAATAGAATGCAGGAACAAAAGTTATGTTTCACGTGTTAGTGACATTTTGCCCGAATTAGTAAGTGTTTTAAGATTAACATAATGCAGTCCGTTGTAAACCGAAATTAAAAGATTATACTTCATTCGAATAACTTTAACTAAGGGATTTATTCAATGCAGCGACGAAATATATGCGTCATATTACTTTTTTTTAAATATTTGTTCATTTTGACTAGTATTATTGATATCATTAGAATCAAATCTTGAAAAATCTCTTCTATGTCATGTATCATCATCCAAATTGGCCTTAGCAAAGATATCTTGGTTTTAAAAATTTTTTACATTCTTTCTTCTTTTAGGTTTCAGCTAATATATGTAAAATTCAAATTTCATGATAAAAATGCTCGTACATTTTGTTTTTGTATTAAGAATAATTTAACAAAATTAAAAAATAAATAAATAAATAAAAATATTTCTTAAAACAGAAAATTAAAGATTTAAAAATAAAAAAATAAAAATATTTTACTTTTTTTTAAGTATATAGCAAAAATATAAATAAAAATTAATTAAAGAAAAAACTCCGTATCAGATCCTCAATCGAAAAGTAAAAAGAATAAAAAGTATGATTTATAATGTTAATAAACAAAAATTAATAAATAATAAAATGCAGGCAAATAAATATTATATAGATTAGATTAATAAATAAATAAAAAAATAATTAAAAATAATAAAATTAATTTAAAAAATGTATAAAGAGTACCTAAAAAGAAAAAGTGAAAACAAAGAAAATAATTAGAAGACCTAATTAAAAAAACAATAAATATAATATACTGAATTTATTTGCTAAAATAATAATAATAATAAATAAGAAATCGTGAAAAAAAATGTAAATTGAAAGAATACAAATATTTAAAATAAATGTATGCAACTCGTTTACCTTTTAATAACAAATTATTCATATATAACAAAGAATTTTTTTTTTATTTGTATATTAATCTATTTTTATAAATAATTTGGGCGTCGAAGTGCCCGAAAACTGCAAATTCTTAAATGATTTCAAATTTTTAGAAAAAAATGGATAATAATATAAAAGACAAAATCCTTCCTACCATAATACCAAAAAAAAAAAATTCTTTAAAAAATTTCCAAAAAAATTGTTTCCGTAGCAATGTCTCCGGCTAGCAAATCCGAAAATGGTATAAGTATGACAAACGGTAATGTGAACTCATGACCGATTTAAATAACGTAATTTATGTCATCTATTACTATATTTGGCTTGCACTGCGTAAAACTCCGAACATTCGAAACTCAATGAAACAATTCTCATTGTTTAAAAAAAAAATTATTATAAATAAAAATCTTATCTCCTTTTACCTCATATTCCGACTTATTAAAGTGAAATTATTTATTTTTATTTAAAAAAGATATTCTGGACTCTTTTTTTATAAAAGAAAATAAAATTCTTTAAAATATTTAGGCAATCAAGCGAACTTTTTTTTTAGCACGTTTATCATAATGCAATTAATGCAAGTCCCCAAAGAAATTCATTTATCGATTATAGAATCAATCCTAGAATCTGTCGATTCTGTTAATATATTAAAACCACTTGCATTCACGTGTCGCCACTTCGCATACCTTTGTCTCTATGAAATTTGGAAGACAAGAAGATTGATAGAGAATAATTCATTGAAAACTTTCCGTAACACTGTATCAAAAAATCCATTAATGCCTTATGGAGATTTCATATTAAAAATACAAGTAGATGAATTAGATAAAGAACCACCGATTTACATTGATGATAAATTAATTAAATTTTTTGCTGAAAATTGCAATAATCTTAAAGAATTAATGTTAAGATTTTCTCAGAAGAAAAGAAAAAATAAAGCGTATTTACTTCCTTTGGAGTTGCTTGGGGATCGAATAAATAATTTGTCAATAGTAAATTATGAGAATTGGGATAAAAATTATGACGATGATGATGAACAAGAACAACTGATGGAGATGTCATCGCTGGTTACTATAGGAAAACAAGTTTTGAATAATGTATATAATTATTATAATAATACAAAAATATCTTCTACCTGTAAGGATTCAGATAACTTGCAAGAGGGATCAAAAGGAGGTTCAAACGATAGCAACAGAAATGATGAAGCGGAGTACCACGATGCGTTAAGTGAGATTGTTAAGTTAGGAGTCGTTAACAGTGTTCGATTATATGATCCAAAAATGTCTGAACGTGTGTGGGAAAGGTATTAAATATTTATAACTTGTAAAAAAAATTATTGTCAAATATACTAAATAAAATATTTTTTCCCCATTTACACTTTTTCTGTCGCTACCGTAATAGTTTTACGAGCAATGCGAAAAATTCCTTGCAATCGATTAGAATAACATTGAACCAAACAAGATTAACAACAGATCCATCAACGATTGTTATGTTATTTGGAAAATATTGTAAGAATTTAAGAATATTTGATATCGATACATTTCAACAAGCCATCTCCAAAGATTCCATAATGATATTACTGGAAAATTGTAAAAAATTAGAATATTTAGATATAACAGCATCAAGTGAAACGGTTCCATTTTTATATAAATCTAAATCAATCAAATCAATATATCTATCACATATAGTCAATGGGAATGATTTAAATCAAATTAATGAATGTATGGAGAACTTAAAAAAATTATCATTTTTAAAAATTAATGGTAAAAATAATTTATTATTTTTGAAGAATTTTCCAAATTTAGAATACTTGTCGATCGGGGATTTTAGTGAAATGAATGACGAAGGATTTTTAAATGTTTCAAAGTTAAATTTAACCGAATTAATTTTAGTTAGAACTCCAAATATATCGGATGAAGCATTACTCATGTTTGGGTCAATGAACTCATTAGTCGAGTTTAAAATTAGAGCTCGTTTACCCAATGTGACGCAAAAAGGTTGGATTAATTTAGTTAGAAGGCCGATCGGTTGCCCTTCTTGGCGTGTAATTACAATCGATGATGGTAGACAAATTAATCCTGAATTTTTCGAAACGTTAGAACAAGATCATTCTGATTTAGAATTTTTGAGAATAAGGGGTTTTAAATATGATAATCTATTAAATGATGATTCTTTTGATAAATCCAAATTTAAGGAAGCTTGGTGGTATTATAAAAATACTTCTTATACCCCTGTTGTTTATTGGCCTATTAGATACAAGAAGGAAAAGTATCCAGATGTTTATTCTACATTTAAGCAAGATGATTCTTATGAGCGAGTTTACTAGATATGAGAAGATTTAATTTTATTATTATATTTTTTATTTATTTATTTTTCCATGATAATTAAAATTACTTGTGCATGTCAATAATTTTCTGCGATTACTAAAAGTATAATGTTGTTATTAATTACATCGATTTATTTATAAATCTAAATCTATATTATTCAAAATCACCGGCAACAGTTCAAACTCCTAGTCTTTTTCATTTCACTTTTTTTTCAATCATCAACTTTTTCCCAGTAATCATTGGCATTATATTTAAATTATATTTTTTTTTTTTTTTTTTTTTTGCAATATCAGTCGCCAAATTTAAATAAATCGTATAAATCGTTTTTTTTATGACCGCATGCTCTAAATGTCCGATGAAAATAAAAAAAAATCTACTTAAAGCAAAACATATTCTTTGAAAAATACAGTATCATTTATTTAAATCTGTCATTTACGGAATACGAGGTTTACTATTATTTCGGATATTTATTTATACTTCTGGTATTAAATTTCGTCATACGCTCAATATAATTTTGAGTTCCTTTCATGATTACAAAGAAAATTCCTCTTATCGGATACCAGTAATTGAAATAAACTGCGACATTTTTGGCAGTTTCTATTAATTATTGCTTCAATACCTTTCTTAGAAGATTTACAATGCTCTAACGTTATTGGTAACTTATACCGTGATTACGGATTTCAATGATCATGCAACCTATGATGAACGTGCGATGATTGTTGATTTAAGTGGCAAAATTTATAGGTTAGAAAAATAATTTTGAATTTAATTTTTATAAAGAATAATTTTACTTATCTTTTATTTTGTTTATTATTATTATAGTAACGCTTCCCTAAGGCATGCCTTTTTTTGATGTTACTAATAAGTGGTTGCCTAACTTCGCCAAAATCGTTTATAATGTTAATCGTGACAAGTGGTTTCTCCGACTAGGGAGTATAACAAATACTACTTATATTTTCTGGCAGCAATTCATAATGTAACTTACTATGGTTCATACAGTATATTCTAATTTTATTATGAAAAGTGGCTTAGTTGTTTTTATTTTTAACAGAACTGATGATGGAGAAATTCAACTGCTAGCAGAAGATGTCATAATGTTTACAGATAATTATACATCTGCCTTACTTAAACCTGTCGCAATGATGGACGGAGGATACGCGCTTATTTTTTCTAAAATTATGGATTCAATTGCTACTCCCAACGATCCTTTTCCTACTCGGGGAGAAGTATACGCCAAATTGTTACCATATGGACAAACAACTGATCGTCAATTAGTCATCCTTTATCAAACTCCAATTCAGGGATTAGAATTTATTGGACTTGATTGCAGTATTGCTTATTTAGAAGTTGGGCATACTTGTATATTAAACGTTAAATATGCAATGGCAAATTTTATGTTGAAATTGATTTTCTTTCATCAGGAACTGTATATAAGATTCAATCATTAAATATTACTACTCCAACTATTCCAGGAATTGATAGTTATATCTTTAGGTTATTACCATATGGGGGTTATTTGATATATAGGAACATTGATAAAGTTATTTATGGTTACATTCTTTATGGAAGTGAGACTTATGATTGGGGTTTGGAAAATCCTATCAATGGAAGTATTTTGTATGCAAATACAATCTTACCAAATAACACTTTTGTATTTGTTGATCCTGAGGGTACTCAAAATTGGACTCTTACCACAAATGACTTGTATAGATATGGCGGGGAACGAGGTAAAGTTTCATCGAAAATTAAAAATTAAATGATTATTTTGAGATTTAACATTACTTAATTATATTAAATAGATCATTGATATAAGAATTTATTTATAAACACTACAGTTCCGAAAATTAACGATATGATTGCATATGACACACCTTTTTTAAAAATTAATTATCACGATCCTATTGATTTATCAAATCGTAATATTATAATATTTCAAAATAATCACAATATTATACGTCAAAACATTTCTGGAAGCAATTACGATTATGTAAAAATTGACGAAGATGGAACTACCGTTATTGTTTAAATAATTGAAAGTACATTCAATCGACCTGGTGAAAAATATTATGTTTTGATTGAAAATGGTTCTGTAAAAAGTCGGCTTTACCAAGAACCTTAGACAACAATATTTGGTCATTTACAACACGTAAGTGATTTATATATTATCAGATTTTAGAAATCTATACATTTAATTTTTTTCAATCAGATATGGTAGATGAAAATAATTCAAGTAGAATTGCAGGAAGAGTTCGACTCAGGAAGGAACTAAGTGTTTTTACACAAAATTAAGGCGGGAATTTGCTGATGTAATTCCCATTAGCATGGAACGTGTAACTACTAATGGAAAGTTTGAAACCGATCCTTCAGTTTCTCCAAAACAATTCATTTTATCTGTTGATATAGAAGAGGATGAATCCATAAAAGAAAGTGATGCTGTTTTCGCCGCTAAAGATCTAGATACTTTGATCAAACATAAACCTATCACCCTTATTGCAGTTGGTGAATCTTCAAAATATGTGGATCAAGTATATGGATACAATCCTTCCCGTAAGAATTAATTCTTAAAATTACAAGAAAAGTAAAATAAATTTTATTTAAAATTAACCATTTGAACTTGTATTATTGCCAGTTTGTTAAAAAATTATGGAATGTTTATAATTGTAATATTTGCAGCCGTATGCGTATTGCTCTCCTTTTTCTATTTAGCAAGGTGTAAAAATAAGGAGGTAATATCATGAACTTTTACAATAATTAACAAAAACGAGCAGCTAACATGATCAATATTGTATGTATATTATTATTAGGCAAAAAATTTTGCAATTTTTCAACTTGGTCTGATAATTGCTGATATAGTTTTAGATATTCTTTTTGTTATTACAAAAGCAAGAAATTCTGATGGAATATTTATTCCAAGGTGATAAATTGAATTTATTTAATTTATTTATAATTCAAAATTTCAAAAATATTTATTTATTTTTTTTTTTTACTTCAAGTGTTATTTTTGTGGCTATTCCATTTATTGTAGGCTTGGGATTGGCATTTAAAATTATAAAAGAAGAGGATTTTAATAATAAAGAATTTTCAGGATGGTTAAGAAATAATACAAAAATTATAGCAATATTCACCGTATTAGCGGGAGCTGATATTGAAGCAATAACCATACTTGAATCAAAGTAAAAATTTTAAATTTTGATTTTTTTAAGCTAAATTTTCTAAAGCAGCATTAAGTAAGATATTTTGGGGAGCTTTCATTAATATATTTTTAGAAGAAATTCCTCAGTTAACCATTCAAGTAAGTAATAACTTTTCATCATTGTTTTTTTTTTAATTTTGATTAAATCAATTATAAATTATTTTCGAAAAAAATGTAATAGGTTTTGTATTTAAAGAGCGCGGTGTATTATGATATTGTACCAATATTGACGTTCTTATCATCATGTCTAAACATAATAATTAATATTATTGGAAGAATGTATAAATTTAAAGATCATAAGAGTGATGATTCTGTTAATTATCGTAACTTGGTCAAAAATAATGGATCAAAAGATGAACCTATTCTTGAAAATTCTCCATCAATAGTTTCATTTTCGGAAGAAAAATAGGAAAATGTCAATAAAGTCGAATAGGAATATTTATTAGTTTCATAAACTAATACTTTGATCTAATAATAAATTCCAATTAGATAAATCATTAAAACATTTAAATATCCTGAATTAAATAATTTCGTGGAAAAGCATTTATATTAAAATTGTTTTTAAAGACTTTGATGATGTAATAAGGATTATTTTATATATATATATATATTAAGATTCATAATGTGTGTATTTGTTATGTTTTATATTCAAATTTAATTATATTTTTCAGCATATGGGAGCTGATCTATTAAAGGTGGGTTACGAGACATAGTAAATCATATGATTCGTACCTCAATTTTAATAGATCAGCTCCCATATGATCAAAATTTTACGTGATGCAACCACTTTAGCACGATATTTACCACCCGCTTGTTTTATATTAATATATTATAGTATGCGGATATTATGTTGATTTTAAACTTAACATTATATTTTTATTTATTTTGCTCATGTAATAATATTACGGCATATCAAATATATAAGCGCGGCCATGAATCATGACCAACAATTAGTTCATGTGCCACCAAGGCATAAAACCGTTCCTAAAAATGTTATTTTATTCAATACAGAATTATCGCTCGATACTTTATGCTAGCAACAAAGTTTCAATTATATTACACGCTCCTCCTTCTTATGAATTTTATTTTTGTATTTTTTGACAAACAAAATATAAAAGTAATGCTTCATTGTCGAACATAATATACTTGAAACGTTCCATAAGGAAATTACGACCTGCAGGCACGTAAACAACTTTTTGAGTTCAAGCGTTATGACCAATGTTAATAGCACAATTATTAAGACCGCGCAAATATAAATAATATATGCGAAAGCATGTATGTTGATATGTCATGATTTGCATGAAACCACAGAGGGGAAAAAATTTATTATTATTAAAAATGATTTGAGGTAATTAATATTGCAAATGCTTTGTAATTCTACTCAAAAAGATGCCTTTTCAATTTATTAGACTTAAATCGTCAATTTCAATTAATATAACATCAATACCATTTTAATTTACGAATTTCTTTTTGTAATGAACCTATTTTATTTACTTATATCATCATTGCGCGTTTACCAAATTTAAATAAATTTCTTTTCTATGCTTTTTGAATTGTAATAAATATTTTTTATATTAATTTTCGTTCCCCAATAATTCTATTGTCATCCTCGGGTTTCAATTTGCAGGAATAGCAGTATTGTTTCAATCAGCATAACTATGGGTAAAAAATATAATTGAATTTCTTCTGCAACAAAAATGCCCTTTTCAAGTTTTCATATAGTAGGTCTATTCCTATAATATTTATATCAATACTCTGAAATTCTATACAGTAGCTAATTCAATTTCTATCGATTCTATTACAAACACAATATTCAAGATATTGCTCAAGAAAAAGCTTCCTATTATCGTGAAAAGCAAAAGTAAAAAATACTAAAATATCTACTAAAAGCTGGACTATGAAATTTGAAGTATTTCATAATAATTCTGGCTATTTTATTCTTTTGACTGAACTAATAACATATCGCAGCTTCAAAATAATTTGTAGAATTTATAAGGCAACATCGGTTAAGCAATTTGTTGATCCTATTTTCACATGATAAAAATATGTTTTCTGATTTACATGGCAAATTACGCGATCTGCAAGAACATGGATTTGGCGAAAAATCTGGTATAATAGCTATCAATCCAGTTAATTCAAATAATCCAGAAAGCCTTTTTATCTATAATACTAGCTATGCGTGGAGATGAATATTATCAAGAAATTTCTTTAAATTCAAATCCTTTAGATGTATTGCCAATATTTAATAATTGTACTTTTTCGAATGTTTCTTTATATTAGAAAATAGGTCATTAAAATAATTTTATGTATACTATATTTTTAATAATTAAATATAATAATAATTTTAATGTTATTAAATTAAATTTATTGAATGATTTATATGATTGGTCAATTATTCCGTGAATATATCAGTAAAAAAAGTCATGGAAATTGATTAGGAGCCGTGGTATAAAGTATCATTATTGACCTATCCAATTATGATATATATTAAGACAAGTATTACGATATTTTGGAAAACTACTGATTTTCCTTCCTCCCAGAATTTTTTTTTTTTAAATTTTTTTCATTTAAGTAAGCTTACGCCTAGTATATAGAAGTTTAGTACAAAAAAAAAAAAAAAAAGTTCAAGCGGATATATATAAATGCTGGTGTACGATTGAATTGACATATTTTGAACTAATAAAAAAAATATATATAATATAAAAAAATATATATTATCTCGTTTAATTAGTGAATCATGCAGATCATTTTAATCTGACTCGTGTCTCCGAAATTTTTTTTTGAATAAACTATAACTTGGAAAAACTTTTTGATGTAATTATTTTTCGGTATTGAAAACCAATATTATACGTACTATAACCTGATTTACAAAATTACTTAGAAGGTCAAGCAAGGTTAGATTAGAATGCATATGTAGAACACTGTAAAAGGATTTCAAAAACTTCGATTAAAATTACTTTTTATAGACACGATTTTTTAATTTGTTTATCTTCAAAATTCTCTATATTTATATAACTTGTACCTTTTGAATTACTTTCCCGTGAAATAATTATTAAACAAATTCTTTAAATAAAAAGAAAATTGCTAAAATGACAAGAGGGTATTCATTAGAACATGATTTGAGATTATTAATCAATAATCCAAAATATAGTGATGTAGAAATTTTATGCAAGGATGAAAAAAGTTATATTGTTGTAGAGCGATTTTAGCTGCAAGATCCTAAGTTTTTGATAGATTATGTTTTTAGTAAAGTAGGAGAAATTATGATAAACAAATATCCTTTTCAAAGATTGGTTCTTCAGGAATGGAAGTTATAATGGAATATCTTTATACAGGAGTTGTTAAAGAGAAATCTTTAATCAAAGAAAATATCGTCGAAACTTTTATTTCTGCAGACTACTTTCAATTGCCTTAACTTTTAGATTTTATTGTGAAGACTGTTGAAAGTACCTTAGAAAAGAATCGCAATGATAATTATTCACCTGAATTATTATCTAAAATTCTTGAAACAATGCCATTAACAGAAGATAATATTCTTTCTAATCTGTTGGTTGACGCAGTATCAGCTATTCCGTTAAATACCATTGAATTTGGTCGCTTGTCTAGTAAAGCACTTTGTGTCCTTTTATCTTGAACTTTTGAAAAGGATAAACCCTTTTTAACTCCAGAATATGAGTTTTTTCGATATAGTGTTATTCTAATTGCAAGAGATATTTCTAACGACGCAACCAAATCCCTTTTAAACCGGTTACCTATCCTAGATCACATGGATGATTGATAATGAGCTTATTCCATCAAGAGAAATTTCTGGATTATTGAGCCAGCTTTTATATATCATCATTTAGTGTGTGTTAAGCCTTAATAAAAGTAATGCTGTATTTTGGTAACGAATAGAAAATTTATTAAAGAATTCAACGAGAATTTCCGTAGAATATTTTCCGATGAATTTCTTCCATCCATAAATTAGATTTTAAACAAATTAAAAGCTAAAGAGCAAAATAAACATAGTTAGCAATTCAATTGATTTTATACCTAAAAATAAAAATTCCCGCGGTAAATGCATAATTTGGCAGTTTCTATTTGGAATCGGACGACAAAAGTACAATGATTGATAAGCTTGGAACGATATGCCGATCACTTACTGCGCCAATTAACTTTCGTCTATTATGGAATTTCATTATAAAGATGCATTGCTTTCAAAAATACCTCGTGAATTTTGTAGAAAATTTAAAATGATTATAAGGTATTCATAAAATTGAAAATTCCTAAATTTATTGCAAATATAATGATTTAAACGAACTAATATTACAAAATATTTAAATTATGGACTAAGAAACTTTTATCTAATCTTAGTGTATAAATAATTCCCGATAAAAATCATCTACTAAATTTCAACTCCAAGATTTGTATTTAAATTTCTGTTTTAAATATATAATTATAATTATTTGTGAATATATTATCTTTATAAAATTTATTTAATTTACATAATTTTTTTACTGTATGGAATTTCTAAACCAACTTAATCTTCTGAATGAAGATTTGGATTATTGTAAATTTCTTCATCATATAAATATTCTAAATTAAAATTATTAAAGTATATAATCGAAACGATAATAGAAAAATTGTTTTATATTTTACCATAATTTATAATATGTATTATTTCTATATTTCATTGTTTATATAATTCCTAAAATAAATAAAATATTATTAATATTAAAACTTCATTTTTAATCAATTTCATTTTTTTTAGATTTACAATTTTATACATATTTGACTCCATTAGAATTAATTGGCCTGATTTATTTCTATAAGTTTAAAGTTACAAAGATTTAATTTATTGGATTTTATAAGCTAATTTCAACAAAATTTTAATATTTAATCTTACCAACTAATATTTTTAGGATTATAATCTTTAGATATTTCTTTATAATAAATAAAATAATTAAATTTTGTTCTGATAAATATAATACAAAATACTATAATATATATACTTACTATCTGGAATACTAAGACTATTTTGTTTACTATCAGCTAATTTTTTTAAAAAATTAATTTTTTAAAATTTAATACTAAATAATTCCAATATTCTTAATCGGCAATGATTTGTAATGAATATAATAAATAAAGTTTTATGACTTACCTTCATTATCATTTTTTGGTTTAGGTAAATCTTTAAAAATATGAAATTTACTAAATTTACTAACAGAGCTAGTATCATTAACATTTTCATTAGATTGTATGCAATTAATACTAATAATATTTTCTTCATTTTCATTTTGACAATACAAATTTCTCATTTGAAAAATTTTATTATTAAGAATATCAATTTTTGGTCTTTTAAATGGATCAGCATCCCAACATTGTACCATTAAATTTGCATATTCCAATGGAGTTCTTGATACGATTTTTGGTCTCATTCCATTCATTATTTTCATCACAAGATCATAATTATGTTCCAAACCAGAAAATGGCGGTTGTCCAGATGAAATCTCCCACATAAGTATACCGATACTATAAATATCTGATGCAAAAGTGTATACTTTTCCAAACATAACTTCGGGTGCTATATAAGAAAGGTTCCCATATATACTTCCTAATGGTTTATCAGCGGGGCCACAAAATCCAAAATCACTAATACGCCAAGCATTGTTATTTTTAGTATATAATATATTTCCTGAATGCAAATCTCTATGAATCAAATTTTCATGATGAAGTCTCACAACTGCTTCACTTATGTATGAAAGTATAATGAGTCTTTGTTTCCATGTCAATTGACTATGATTTTGCTGTAAATATTTTCTTAAATCAAAACTGTATAAAGCCATTACAAGAAAATAATCTTTATTTTTTGGATCCTGAGTAAGTCCATGACTATTAATGAAATTTCCCCATTTACTGCTTAAAGTTAATTGAGAATCAGCCTATAAAACAGAATAATTATTTTTATTTAAACGAAACTATAATTACTCATTCTTATAATACTTTAAAATTACATACCTCTTCAAACCAGATTCTGTTAGCACTTTCAATATTTTCTAATCTTTTGAGTATTATATTTTTTCTTCCGTGTCTTGTTAATTTTTGATCGATAGAGTCCCATTTTTCATAAGGACCATTAATCAAAACTGCTTTATAAATTTCAGAGCATCCACCTTTAGTTAAATATTCAATATTTTGTATATTATTGTATGGGATCCATTCAACGATTCTTAATGGAAGGACAGCTATCGATTGACATTTCTGTATTAAATTATCAATTTCATTATTTCCAGATGTCCATTCTGAAAATTTTGCTTTTAAATAACTTCGAATACATTGTTCACAATATGATGTTGCTAAACATTCTAGCTTGCAGATTTCACAAACTCTTTTTATTCCTTGATTAAGGGTAATTTTTTTGTAGTCATGATACTGACTTAATAACGTTATTGCCTCTGATTTTTCTTCTTTTGTGAGCGATGAGTCTGTGCAAATTGTTTGTTTTATAAATTCAAATAACTTATTTAAATTTGTGTGAAGTTTATAATCTAATGCATATGCTCTATTAATTGCAGCGTGAACTAATTTTTTATTAATAGAGTCCATAATAGGAAAATAAATGAAAGATAAACGGGTGTAATAACTCCAGCTTTATTACGATAGAATATGATCGACACTGTAGTACATAATGTTACACTACGCATTGAAACGTTGTATATCAATATTAATTATAATATAAATTTAAGAAAAATGTTAATAAGCATTAGAAAGGTAAAATAAAATAGAGAATGTATATTAACTTACAAAAAAAAAAAAAAATAGAAATGTAGTAAATGGAGTGAATAGTTAAATATGTAAAATTTTGCAATTAGCTTTTTGCATTCCATGATATATTCTTAAATTTTTTAAAATAAAAAACAAATCTATGGTATCGAACTCATTTGAAAAAAAAAAAGGATCACGGGACCTTTTACTTTGTATACTAAATTAAAAAAGCATCATCATATGTGAGCGTTTCTAGTAAAATTGCATTACGGAACATGTATGATAGAACCTAAAAATAATAAAATTATCAAAAGAAAAGGAAAAGAAAAACCTTCTAGAAAAGGAATATAATAAAGGAAATAATAAAGAAATAAAAAATTTATCATTGATCAGCGATCATAAAAAGAAAAAATTATTGGCGTTTTCGAAATTGATGTCGATCATGTGACGGCGATCGATTCGATTTTTTAAGTTAATCACATTCGTTCAGCTTTACATTTAATTTTAAAATAAGCTATTACGAATTTTATTTTATATTTTAATAAATTTACACTTTATTTATAATATGATATTTACAAGAAGTTTTATTAAAAAAAATATATATATATTCAAGCTAAAACTTTGAAATCACAACTTTTTTTCAAGGAATCACAGAAAATCAAAGAAAATCCATGGAAAAAATATAGGAATCAAAGTTGAGTTACCATAGTTAAAGTTATTCTTTGGCTCATGAAAGTAACAATTTAAGGTGGAGTGTAGTGTATTTGTCAAAAAAAAAAAATATTTCTACTATTACATGAAATGGTTTCAAAGTGGAGAAGTGTTATAACCCATTGAAGTTGTATATAGTATTAATTAAAACATAAATGATTTGATTTTAAGATAAATAATAAAAGAGCATTCTGATTACTATTTAGATGAGATTGTTAGAGAAATGATTAGGAGGATAAACAAAGTCCATGTTCCTAAAAATAAATAATTAAATTATTATTTATAATATGGAATGTTGCGCGAACTAACGTTACGCGAATATCATCACGAAGGTTACGCGAACATCATCACGAAATGTTACGCGAAATGAAACCTTACAATTGATGCAGCCCAAATCTCATTTGTTTGATAATAGTATCCCATTTTCCTGCACTGTTTTTACCCTCTCTCCTAATTACTAATTTAAATGAGATTTCCATGTGTTCATCTTAGATTCTTCAATTTCAGAATTATCTACTTCATCTTTAACATCCTATTCCACATCATCTCCAATTTCAATAACCAAAATTTTATCCTCCTCTTCATTATTCATCAGATTAATCTCAAATTCTTCTTTATTAATTTCTTCTACTTCATTACTTCATCATCATCATCATGGTTCTCATCATAATCATCATTTTCATCAACATCATTGTCATCATTATTATTTATTTCTCTAGAATTTTTTGCTGAAGAATTAGATCTAGTTAGCCTTGATACTTGATTTGATTTGGTATTAGTTTTGTAAGTTTTTGGTAGATTTATTGGAATGGTCTTTGTTGTTTGAGATTTTTTAAGTTGACATAAACTATATTTAAGTTTTTGAGAAAATTAATTATATATAAATAAATTCTATTAGCTGAACTTAATTCAGACAGTTGTAACTCATTATAAATCTTGTGTTTGCATTTAAGTCATACACTCTGGAGTAGCTTTTTCTTTTTTTTTGCATCTCATTTTTTTTCAAATCACATTGACAGTGATCGGCCAATTTGTGTTTTGTCGATCATCACGTATAATAGCCAATTTCAATAATTCCAATAATAAAAAAAATTTTCTACAACACTACAAAAAATCATTTCATCACTGCGGCACGAAGCGATAGAACCAAAAGTGTGTAAAATTAAATAAAAAAAAAATACTACCGAAATGCACGAACCCGAAAAGTAGTCTTAAAATAGAGGTTGGGAACCGACCTAATAATCCTTAACGGTTAAAAAAAAAAATTTCTTTTCAGTAACCGGTGGTTAATTAATCGGTTAACAATTAACCGGTCCAACCTTTAAAACATGCATTAATAATTATTATTAGCGAGTACACTCTGGAATTTATTGAAGTCTTCAAGTTCGGAAATACCATTAAGATAGATTGGTTTTAAATAATTGCCCATATGGTTATTAGCTACTCCGATCAACGTTCAAACATTTAACCGTGTGGCGTTCAAAAAAGAAATCGGTTAATTTTTGGCATAATCCCGGAAATTGGTTATTTCTACGTTCGAAAAAGGATATTAATCAAAACAAGTCATATTTTTTATAAAAGGTATAAATTCAGTCTCTTTCAATTTAATTTTTTTATTTTTTTTTTAGAATTTCTCGAAATTTATTAATAAAAAAAGGAAAAATGTCGCTTCCAACTCGTGTATTGGGTAAAACTGGAGTCAATATTCCAACTATTGGCTTAGGATGTATGGTGTGTAATTAAATGGTTTCGAATACTCCGCATCAATTTTTTTTTCCGATAGTGTATAATTGCAAATCCTCTTTTTTTTTTTTAAAAAAAAAAAAAAAAAAAAAAAATACAGGGAATGAGCGAATTTTATGGACAAGCTGATGAGAAAGAAAGCATCAAAGTATTGAACAAATCAATCGAATTAGGAAGTGTCTTTTGGGATACCGCGGTAAGATTTTTTAGAAATAATTATTTAGACTACAGAAACAAATAATGATATCCTTTATGCGTTTGAATTGTGATTCTTAGGATATATATGGAAAAGGAGATAATGAGGTCCTTTTATCAAAAGTTCTCAAAGAACGCCGTAATGAAGTATTTCTTTGCACAAAGTTCGGATTCGTTCGAGGTCCGAATGGAGAATTTATGGGCGTGAAAGGTGATCGTGAACATGTTCGTCAAGCTTGTGAAAAATCGTTGAAAAGGCTTGGAATAGATTATATTGACCTTTACTATCAACATCGTGTGGATTCTCAAACGTAATCATAAATAAATGTGTTCATTTTAACATTAAAAAGATGGAACAAATTAAAAAATCATACATTTATTTTTATTCAAAAAGTCCTATTGAAGAAACCGTTGCCGCTATGGCTGATCTAGTGAAAGAAGGCAAAGTGAAATATATCGGTCTTTCGGAATGTTCAGTGAATACGCTTCGACGCGCTTGTAAAGTTCATCCAATAGCAGCTTTACAGGTATATTTTTAAATTTAAATACTGTTAAATATTAATTATTAATTACCAAAACATACTACTTTTATAAGATTGAGTATAGTCCATGGTCGCTTGATATTGAAAAAAATGGAATTATGGAAGCATGTCGTGAATTAGGTGTTACCATAGTCGCTTATAGCCCAATTGGTCGCGGATTCTTAACCGGCAAATATAAATCACTTGATGATTTCGATCAAAATGATTGTAGAAGGATTATGCCACGTTTCTTGGGTGATAATTTTAACAAGAATTTGGAAATCGTTAAGAAATTTCAAGAATACGCAAACAAGAAAGGTGTTAGCTCAAGTCAACTTTGTCTGGCTTGGGTTTTAGCTCAAGTATTTACACATTTGATCAAATAAAAATGTTTGAATGTAAAATCCTAGTTTGAATTTAAAGTCTATTTATAATTTAATTTCTTTAGGGGGAGAATATTGTTGCCATTCCTGGTACGAAGAAAATCAAATATTTAGAAGAAAATTTTGGTGCAGCTAATGTTCAGCTTACCCCCGAGGAATTGACTGAAATTCGTCAGATTATTGATTCTATGGAATTTGTTGGTTCCAGATATCCAGAACAAATCGCCACTGTAAGTATTTTATATACCTATATAATAATTTCATATTTATATATTTTTATATTATCATAACTTTGAAATTTTTTTTTGTTTCTCAGTCTTTGGATCTTTAAGAAAGTATTTGAAAAATTATTGATTGTGTTAAATTATGAAATAATTTTATTCTTGAATTCTTTGGAAATAAAAGGAGTTAGTAAAAATTTTTTTTTCTTTAAATACTGAAAATAACGTTGTGTGGCAATTTATCGAGCCTTTTAAAAGTCGTAATAATTTACTCTATAGTTATAAAAAGTAAAAAGTAATCTTCAAAATTTAATTTCCAATTTTATCAGGTCTATTTTGAAGACTCGTAAAATAATTAAATAATAAATAAACATATTGATATAAATACATTAACTCTACTTAGAAACCTCGTAGTTCATAATCATCGTTCTATTAATTTCACTTGTTCATCGAACTCGATTAATTTAAACTATTTTTTTGAGATTTAATTAAAGTCTATAATCTTATACTTCTGTTGTAGAATGTTTTTAGTAATATTATCCTCGTGACACAATGATTCTTTTACCATGATATCCATTATACTTGCTACCCATACTTTATAAATATTGATAAATTCCAATACTGGTATAATTGTTGGTGTATCTATTGAATTAGAGATTCTAAAATGTATCAATTATAGAATCGATTAATCGCTGTTTTCGATATAAGGTTCGATTTTACGATTGCGATTAGTCAATTTTTATTTATGGAAAATTAAAATTTTTTTATATCATAATTTAATCGAATCGATACATTACAAATAAATTTTATTTATCAAAAAAAATAATAAAGTTGTTTTAAATTTTACAATTTCACTCTGTATAGCAACTTAATGTATTTTTTTAAAAAAAATACTTTATAATTATAATTTTTTTTTATTAATATTCAAATTCAAGTATTTTCAGTTTGGTTTTGGTTTACTTTGGGTCTTTGTAGCGATTAAATTTTTTTTTCGATATTTTTTAAAATATTTCTTTATTGCCCTTTCGGCTCGCTCTTCTTAGAAGTACGTGGTATTATATTAATTTATTTTAAATTATTTTTCTAAGCTTTTTTTTCTTTTTTACTTTTGGTTCGACCGCCGATCGCGGCGATACTAATTTCCGACTTTTGATGGAATTAATAAGTTTTTTTCCATTTGTTAAAGGTCATTTTTTATTATTTTTACCTTGTATTTTGTTTTTTGAATAATATGAATGGTTATTATAATGTGAGGTAGATAGTTTCAATTACGCCTAACAAAAAATAGATTCGATTTATTTTCGATTTTTGATTAATTCGATTTTGGTCCAATCTCTATTTTGAATAGCTATCTGCCCATAGTGGAAATTATTTTAATGCCAATAACTAGGTTCATAAAATATTTCACGTTTCATAAAAAATTTTAATAAATTTCAAGCCAGTAGTCCAATTATGATCGGCATGTAAATCCAAAGATGTGCGATTCCGACAATTCATATGCAAAAATTCAATTTCGGAATTTTTACTAACTTTGTTTTAGCTTTAGTACTTGAAATATATATACATATAATCCGCTGTTAATCTAAGTAGCAAAAAGCAAATAATTTAATTCCAGTACGTGGTATTATATTAATTTATTTTAAATTATTTTTTTAAGTTTTTTTTTCTTTTTTACTTTTGGTTCGACCGCCGATCGCGGCGATACTAATTTCCGAATTTTGATGGAATTAATAAGTTTTTTTCCATTTGTTAAAGGTCATTTTTTATTATTTTTGACCTTGTATTTTGTTTTTTGAATAATATGAATGGCTATTATAATGTGAGGTAGATAGTTTCAATTACGCCTACCAAAAAATAGATTCGATTTATTTTCGATTTTTGATTAATTCGATTTTGGTCCAATCTCTATTTTGAATAGCTATCTGCCCATAGTGGAAATTATTTTAATGCCAATAACTAGGTTCATAAAATATTTCACGTTTCATAAAAAATTTTAATAAATTTCAAGCCAGTAGTCCAATTATGATCGGCATGTAAATCCAAAGATGTGCGATTCCGACAATTCATATGCAAAAATTCAATTTCGGAATTTTTACTAACTTTGTTTTAGCTTTAGTACTTGAAATATATATATATATAATCCGCTGTTAATATAAGTAGCAAAAAGCAAATAATTTAACTCCAAAATGAAATATTTTCTCCCTAATATCTTTATAATATACGTAATAATAAATATCGTGACTTTTCCTCTGATCATTGAAGGTAAATTTCTTAACAGAATATCGCGTAGTTCAATGATTCAAATTATCTGACTTTGTGTATTTATCCATAGCCTATAGAATTACTATTTGGACTGACATGTTATTTACAACGGAATGTAATTGCTGGGCGGAAAATTCTAAAGGCGATCAAGTAGCTCGTTGTTTTCGTGTTGCAGGTTACAATGATTGCTCGAGTTTTGGGCCTGATTCAATCCGGTTTCTTTCTACACCTACAAATGATACATACTGGGTTCATACTGATGTATTTTTGTCCTTACGCAAAGAAAAAATCCGTGGCCCATTCCAAAATGATACCTGTTGGAAGATAGGTGGCAATGTATTTAATTGGGAATTTAATACAATTGGATGCTGCGATATCCCAAATCTCTGTTAGCAATGTATTCCAATATATGAAAATGAAATTTTTTAATAATAATAATCTGAAAATTGTAGCTATAACTTTCATTATTTGGATATCATTGTACATCTCTTTATTTGACATTTGTTTAATTTAATAAAGTCTATTACTGATTCGATAACTGATTCATGAATCAATACACATTTCGAACGTTCTTTGGAATTATTAAGACTAGTCACGAAGCATATTTCCATAAGTTGTCGCAAAAATCTTACCAATAATTGTTAATACACCGAATTTGTTACTTGATGGAATCCATAATAAACGCATTGTATAATCTTAAGCTCTAAATACTCAAGAATAAGTCCGTATTTTGAAGCCGGACTTTGAAAATTTCATGCCAGCTCGACCCGGCCATTTACTTAATTTAATTAAATATTTTATTTAACAAATAAAAAAAGCTAAAAAAAAAATTAATAATTATTGAGGATTTTTAAATTTGTATGACATTCATTAAATGTGATGCAATCTCCGCTTTTTTTTATTAATTCTTTTGTATAACAACTTGCAAATTAATTTTTTAGGTTAAAACAACTTGATAATTTAATTTACATTATTATGACAAATTTGATTTTACAATGTTAAATATTTTAAAAACTGTTAATGAATCTAAATTATAATTTTTGCCAAAAATTTAAAAAAAAAAAATTCAGACTGGAACTTTAAACCTGATCCGTGCCGGATGATTTCGAACGTGATAACAAATTTTTTTTAAAATAAGAATTAAATTAGCCCTGGCCAATTTCATAATTTTGCCCAAAGTTAAATTTCAACAGGTGTTAATCTTGTTAAGAATTTATTAACCTTTTATGCCTGCATGCGATTTTTAATTTTTCTTCTATAATTTTTCTTTAATTATTAAAAATAAGATAAGAAATCTTTATCAAGAAGAATCTGAAAGCTGTATAAGAAGAACAAATTGGGTCATTTATTTTTTGAATCCATTCTTTCCCTATAAGAAATCGAAATAAGGAAATGATACGTTTTTTATAAGGTTTGTATACGTAATTAATGATTCTATATCAA